CAAAGTCCATTATCAAAAACAGTTCACTAATAGACTCACATCAATCCAAGAATAACGATGATCAGCAACAGTCAATAGGGAAATGCAGGAACCAAAAACAGCAAACATCAGAACATCAACCAACTAGCAACTAGCAACACTCAGGACTAAACAACCCAGGTTTCTGGCTCCATCTTATGGCCGTTTGAGGAACCACACCCAATTACAATTTCAGCATTCCCTTAAAGAGACAGTATTAAACTGTCTATTCTGGTTTATATATTACCAACCCAACTGTTAGGTGACTTACATTCCTAACACTGATGAGTGATGCTGGAGAAGTAGCTCGTGCCGACGTTAAGCGAGAAGAGGCCCGATGCACCTTGGGTATCTGCTTCTCAATGGCCTGATGGTGCCTGGAAGTATCTTTCTCCTCCGCCTTTGAGGCCCTTTTCAGAGGTTGCTTTCCTTTGGTAGAAGCAGCAGGAGCCGATTTCAACCCCGCAGCTCTGTAAGGAGTGTGGCCGACGCGCATGCTCTCTGAAAATGGCTGTCCGGCTAAGAAACAGCCTCCTCTTCGCCGCAGAGTGCAGAAAAACGGCTCCGCGGCTCTGTAGAGAGGGCAGAAGTGTCCACCCTTGACACATGGCTGTCTGGCTGATTGATCCTCAGATCTTCACCCGGGAGGGCTGAAAACGGCCCCCATGGCCCCTGCAGGCTGCTCCGGATCCCTGGAGCAGTCCTCAGCTGTTTGGCAGCTCCCAATTGTCAGCTGAGAAGCGGAGCACCAATTTCAAATGGGGGAAGCAAACGGAGGCTTTTTTTCTTTAAAGAAAGAATTTCCTTGTAAGGCTGCCTTTGGAACTAAAAAACTCTAAAGGCAGGAGAGGCAATACCACACGTCTTGTTCTGCTAAGAACTGAGTAGAAACTGGGGAGGAGTCACCCAGAGTGGGCGGAGCTTGGCTAATAAGCCTTTTGCACAGACTCAGTCCTAAGCAGCTAACAAAGAGTATCACCCATCCTGACCTGTTACAGTCTTACAAGGGAAAAGCATCAGAGGTGGAATTCAGCTGGTTTGCGCCGGTTCTGGCGACCCAGAAGCAAGAATTTGGCGTGGGTCGCGGAACCAGTAGTGCCATCTGGCTGGCCACACCCCAAACCGGTTCCTGGTCACCAAGTGGTCACCGCTCGCTCACTTGCCCCACCCACCCTTTCACCACTCGCTTGCCCCGCCCACATATGCACAGCCCGCCCATCCCAAACCCACCCTATAAAAACGCATCACCACGTGGTCTTATTTGCGGCTGCCTAAGCTGATTTGAGACTGATCTACTCTTCCCCCACGGATCTCCTACAGGACCTGACTACAGGACCAGGTAAGCACTGACTCTCTAGCCCCCAGCGCCCAGCCCTGGCCCTGGGCTGAACCCCAGGCATTCCTTTCCGCCACCCGGCCTTGCCCCAGCTGCCAGCAGCCTCCACCAGCCGCGGCCTCAATCCACGGCCTAGCGTAGCTCCCCAAGCCACTGCGGGTCCCTTGTGGGCCAGCCGCTAGGCTTGTGGCCGCCCAACCCCCACTGCCAGGCTTCCAAAAGCCCCCAGCGTTTCTTCTCGCCGCCCGGCCTCGTCCTGGGCTTCTGGGGCCCTCCAGAGGCCATGGCCTCCAGCCTGGGGCCTCGCATAGCTGGCCAAGCTGCCGCGATGGCTTGTGCTGTGCTGCCGAGGTCTCCGCCACACTTCCCCATCGCCCGGCTTCGTCCGGGCCTTTCTGGAGCCTCCTGCGGCTGTGGCATAAAGCCCAGGCCTTGCGCAGCTGGCCAAGCCGTGATGATCGCTCGTGGGGCTGCTGCTGCCTGTTGCAGCTGCCCCCCCAACCCAAGGGCTTCTAAAAGCCCTCGGAGGACCTTGCTGGCCAGGCTAGAACCCATAGGCTCCAGCCAAGCCAGCCTTGTTAAAAGAACCCACTTCCCTCCCACCTCCAGCCTCCAGCAAGCACTTTGAAAGCAAACACCCCACCCCAAAATACTGCAGATAAAAACCAGTTTTTTACTTAATCCCCAGACAAAGCCACTGCAATAAAAACCCTGGATTGTTCCCCCAAGGACCCAAAACCTCACACCAGAAATCTCAGCCCTTCTGCCTTTAAGAAACCACCAGGCAAACAAGCAAGACAACAAAAAGCACCACTAAAGTACAGCCATTAACAGTATTTTAATTCATTTTCATATCTTTGTTTTTCTATTGTTGTGCAAACACAATTCTAGCAGCAGCTGTTGTATGTGTAAAATTAAATGAATCCAACAAAATATTTCTGGTTTTAAATCCAGAATGCCCTCTGTTGGGATTTGAATTTGAGCTTGTATTCTGATTGGTTGTCAAACTCCCATGGGGCCATGCAGGAGCAATTCTGTAGGCTGTCCTGAGTCCCAGTCTTGGTTGAGCCTTGCTGGATGATGATGTAATGAAAGGGCTTTGGGCAATTCCTAATATAGCTCTACCTGGAGTAGATCTTTGTTATGTAAAATAGACTGGCCTAGGCCAGAGTAATGGCCCATTAGCAAAGGTTGGGGGGGGATTAGTTTCTGCCTCTCTTGAGTTTTTCTTTTTCTTTTTAGGGGAAATATTCTGCCTTTTTAATATATCCTAAAATATTTCATTTTCCTATGAGAGGGGTGGGTTTTAACTTCCAACAATGGAAAACTGTATCTTTCTTGTTTGTTGGACCCCATGCTGATAAGACTGTACATTGTTGCTGGGTGAAAAAAGAGATCCCTCCCAGTCACATGGCCACCAGGCCACACCCAGCCAGTCACATGACTGCCAAGCCACATCCAGCCAGTCACATGGCCATCAGGCCACGCCCAGCCAGTCACATGACTGCCAAGCCACGCCCACCAAATAAGCCACACCCATACAGTTATATGACCCCCAGGCCACACCCACAAAATAGGCCATGCCCATAGAACCGGTAGTAAAAAAAATTCCACCACTGAAAAGCATAACAATTAAAGATGACAATTACACTCCACAAATCAAATGTATAACAGAAGATTTGGAAAAATGGGGTAAATTAAGATTATCCTTCATGGGCAGAATAGCAACTATAAAAATGAATATACTACCAAAACTATTGTTTCTTTTCCAAAACGTCCCCATAAAACTAGAAAAAAAAATCTTTGATGATTTGGATAAATTAACACTGAAATGGCAAAAGAAAAAAACCTAGAATTAAATTAAAACTACTGCAAGATGCCAAAGAAAGAGGTGGATTTGGCTTGCCTGATTGGGAAATTTATTATAGGGCTGCAGCTCTCACATGGGTAAAGGATTGGATAAACCTTAAGAATAGAAGAATGTTAGCTTTAGAAGGCCACAATCTACAGGCAGGATGGCATGCTTTTTATGGCAGGATAGACAAGAGGTCCATAGATACTTTCAAAGACATAAGATTAGGCAGGTTTTGTTATTGGCATGGAATAAAACTAGACAACAAATATATGTAGAAACACCAATATGGCTATCTACACTGATGTATCCACATTTGCTTCGTCAAGGGAAAATTATTACTTATGAGGATATCTTAAATGAGACAGGAGAATTAAAACCGAGGCGAGAATTGAAAGAACAAGGAGTAGATTTAGAATGGTGGGCCTACCTACAAGTCCAATCGAGTTATTGGAAAGACATGAAAGATCGGGGAATTAGCAGACAAAAAATGCAATTAGATGAGATATTATTGGGAACAGATGATAAATTGATAAGGAAAATTTATAGAGTATTATTGGAATGTAAATTAGAGGAAGAAAAAGTAAAAGAAATGATGTTGGCATAGATGAAAGATATTGGGCATGGTATTAATTTGGACAAATGGCAAATTCTACGGGAAAGAAATAAAAAATAATTGGCCACATCGTATAAACATTGGCCACATCGGAGAAAGAAAATTTATACAAAATGTTTTATAGATGGCACATTCCTCCAACAAAATTGGCTAAAATGTACCCAAACTTATCCCCTATTTGTTGGAAATGCTCCCAGGAAAATGGATCGTACTATCATGTATGGTGGACTTGTAGGAAAGCCCAAAATTTCTGGCATAAAATCCAGAGCTGGTTAGAAGAAATGTGTGAAACCAAGATTGAATACAAACTGGAATTTTTCTTATTAGGAATTAATATAGAGAGATATAATAAATGATGTATCTAATAATACATGTAATTAAAGCTACAAGACTAGTTTATGCCCAAAAATGGAAACTTAAGCAAATTCGAGATGAAATAGAGATAATTAAAAAGATATGGACATGCGTAGAAATGGACAAATTGATGCAAGAACTAAAAAATAAAGATGAATCTGAATACTATAAAGTATGGGAAAAGTTTTACCACAGGTTGGAAAAAAGGAAGGACTCAAAATGTAAATGAAAATAAGATAAGGATGTTAAAATGATAGATTAGTATTATTAAAAATGATTGATGTTGATGTATATATTATATATTATGTATATAGTATGTAAATATGTATTATTCACCATATGAATTAGCTTTGTAAGACAACTAGGTGTGTCAGGATGATTACACCACGTTCACTGTTTTTAAATGTTTCTCTTTTTTGGTGTTTAATAAAAAATTAATAGTAATAAAAAAAGATTGCAAAAGCATCCACTGGGCTGCAAGTGAGTATCATTTATTGATCCAAAAGGTTTTTTTTTCCCTTTCAGATACATCAGTGGTGGGTATCTTTAAATATATGTAGTCAACAGCCAGATACCACATATTGTGCCTCTTCTTTCAAAAGTATAGAGCAGTGTTTCTCAACCCTGGAAATTTTAAGGTATCACAATTCCCAGAATAGGGCAAGCTGGTTGGGGGATTCTGGGAGTTGAAGTCCAGACATCTTAAAGTTACCAAGGTTGAGAAACACTTGCATAGAGCTTTGTAGGATTTGATTTCTGGCAAAAATATCAAAAATGGGAGATGATCTACCTGAATGGGTCCTACTGACATGAGCAGATTTTTCAGCTGAATATCCGTAGTGGATGAAGAAAGCCCTTCCACTGACACGATGCAGGGCTGAGGTTTGCACTCTACCACACGCAGATTTGGTTTACTTGCCATCAAGCGGCCTTGGCCCATCTGGCCTGTGATCCCCCTGCCTCTCCCATGCAGAATACCCTGGTGAGAAAAAAAGTATTTGATTTCATGCTTCTGCTTACAGAGTATGACAAATTAACACAAAAGTTATATATTCTCTTAGAAGGGTTGGAGGGCAAATTGCTAAAGTTCCACTAGTAAACACAGCTATTGGCCTGGCAGTAAAATTTCATTAGATTCACTCTCATTTATATTATAAACTAGACAGCCCATGACCCACTGTGTCATCATTTCAGAGATATTTCCTAAGCTAAACAGAGAAACAGAATGACCACATGAGGAAAAAAAAGCAGCGGGAGTGGGAGCAACTTCTGACTTCCTGTTGGCTTCCCCATTGAATTTCCTCGTAGGAAGCTGGCAGGGAACATTGGAATTGATGTTGATGTGACCGTGCCTAACTGTGGCAGCACTCAAATGGCCAAAACTTTGCCAAATTTCAATCCCACTGGAGTCATGGGTCTCAGATTTGGGGTGCTTTCTATAAGTTAGGCCTTTTGAGGTATGTTGATTTAAAAATTGTTGCCCTACGATGAACTGTTTCATCCAATTGAAGTTTACAATCAAACAGAGTTTTAATAGTACACAGATAGGAAACAGCACAGCAGCATATCATTTCTAACTTATATACTGCCCCATAGCACTTTACAGCACTCTCTGGGTAGTTTACAATGTCAGCATTATTTGCATATTTCCTCCAACAATCTGGGTCCTCATTTTACCAACCTTGGAAAGATGGAAGGCTGAGTCAATTTCCAAAATCATAGGAAAACTCCAACATAACAAAAAGTTCCCATCCTTGGGAGAAAACGCTCCCAAAACAACAAGATTTGCCAAAGCAACACACCTTTCCTTCATGAAAACTTTTATTTCCAGCAGTGTCCTCAACTCAAGTTAACCCTTCCCACTTTACAGCTGTTCCATAAGACAAGTCCCAACAACTCTGACATACAGGTGAAACTCGAAAAATTAGAATATTGTGCAAAAGTTCATTTATTTCAGTAATGCAACTTAAAAAGTGAAACTGATATATAAGATAGACTCATTACATGCAAAGCAAGATAGTTCAAGCCATGATTTATCATAATTGAGATGATTATGGCTTATAGCTCATGAAAACCCCAAATCCACAATCTCAGAAAATTAGAATATTGTGAAAAGGTTCAATATTCTAGGATCAAAGTGTTCCACTCTAATCAGCTAATTAAGCCATAACACCTGCAAAGGGTTCCTG